GGGGGGGGGGGGTGGGGAAGTGTAGAATATAACCTCTTCTAAGTTCATGTTATTGATTGGTCATTACCTGACCCAGGGGAATTATGCAGGTGGTTTGATGATGAGGACCTTACTAATCATGCAGAGTGAAATTTATCTGTTTGCACAAGGTGCACCCCTTGTACCCCATGCTGAAGGCTGAAGTAAAGCTTGAAAGGTAAATAGAGTTTGTGCTATGCTGGCGACTCCTGTGCTTTTCAGTGGACTCCCAGGACAGATGATAAACACGCTTTGAAAACAGATTATTTCAGTGCTTCAGAAAACTCCTGTGTAGTGTGGAGATAAGTAGGATGAGCCTAATTCATAAAGTGGCAGAATAAAAGATAAATAGTAGTGTAGTACATATTTCAACAACTAACATTGTAAGTGTAATGAGAAAAGCAAAGCATAAAGGATTATACTGACTTGCAAGAGTTGTCATCAGCCTACTTTGATGTATTGGTTCAGTTAATATTCTCTGGTCAGCTTTCTGAAAGAAGAACGTAACTCTTGCTTCAAAAATCGTGTGGTGGTTGTTTAAAAAACTAGTATCTGATCTCTGCAAGGATTATTTTTCTTTGCTCAGTCACAGTCTGCATGATGATTGCAGTCTCTGCTAATTTAATATTATGGGCTTTTAATACAGCATTTCCAAGTAACTGGTCATGATATGGAGTTAAATTTTGTATGCTAAACATCTGTAAATTTTGTTTGATAGTTTTACTATTTAAATCTGTATTTGGGAGGAAGGCTACTGTTTCACAGTCTTTGTTTTAGATGAGGAATACCTAACAGATCAAGTTACATTGGAAATTGCATCTGTGAACATCAAGACCCTTACATCAGATTCTGGCCTAATCCAACAGGTAAGAAAAACGATACCTGAATGTGAACTAAGTTATTGCTGTTGATTAAATAAGTATGTTACCAAATAAATATGTTTTCAGACCATATCTGGAGACCATGGAATTACTCAGTAAAACAGACCAGAAATGGGCTCTCTTTTGAAAAGAGTTCAACGAAGCGAGCTTTTGTGGATAAAAGCAAAAAAATCGTTATTTAATCATTAATGTGTACTTTGTAGTTTAAATAGGTTTTGATTAGTGTGTAGATGCTCTGCAGAAGAGCCGACAATGCATTAAGGCTTTGTCACGCATGCTCTCCCTCTTTCCTGCTGAAAATAGAGCCAGGGCAGAGAGTAAGTGAAGAGGAATCCTAGGTTTTGGACTCTGTTTTGTCCTTAGGGAGGCATTTGACTGTTTTGTTTTGAATTTGGGACTGCTCTTCCCCTAGTGGAAACCTCTCCACTGTCTGTGAAATCTTTCCTGCCGTAGGGTGGGCAATTCTGAGTGGTTCCCATGCTCCATGGTTACCATCTTTGAAAGTAAATGTTATTTGTTGAATTTCAAATTTGTTGAATTTCAAATTTCAAAAAGAAAACTTGGAGAAGAGAAATGAATGAGCATTTTCCAGCGAGATGAAGAATTAAAAGGAATTCCTTATGCCAGAGTCCCAGCAGAAATTCATCAGAAACAAACATGGGTTTGGTATGCATTTCACAGGTGATGGAGGTAACCATCTCATGCCCATCATCAAGAAGAGGGCACGTATTGCCATCTTAGAATCACTACAAAGATATTTCAGTGTATTAGGGTGTTAATGGTTCTACAGAGCTGGAAAACTTTCCACTTATCTTCAGATTTTGCATAGGTTTATGGCTTCATATTTGGTATAGATTTTAGACCTGTAGAGGTTGTTTGGATTTTAGTTGTGGGCAAAAATACTCTTGCCTAATACCTTCGTTTAATGGGCAGTAACACTGCATTGTCTTATTGCAATTACACTACAAGAAAATGATCTTGAGTAAACCTGAGCGAATCTGACTTGATAAAAGTGGATAATAACTGATAAGTAAAATTACATTTTTTGAAAACAGATGTATGGCACAGGTAAGTATCCCTGTTTGTCTTTGTACTTTTTACAGTACTAGCCACTATTATTTTTTTATCAGGAAACATGAGTATAATGACATTTCTTAAAGTCATTTAGGTATTAACTTCCACAATACAATTTAAACTTTCATGAATTCATGAAGGCTGGGAAATGTTACTGAAGCTCAGGACAGCAACATAGATACTGTTCACTTAGTTTGCAATAGCTACTTTTCTTTTTTTTATTATTTTATTTTTCTCTTTTGCTTTTATTTGCTTGTTTCTTTGGAAACTGACCTCTGGGGAGGCTGAGCTGTGATGGGCAGCTCCTCGTTTTCCCAGTGAGTTCCCTTCTGGGGATTTGCTGCTCAGGGCTCGCTAATAATGTTCTACCTTTTTAAGAAATTTGTGGGAATGGAGACAATGACTATAATCAGGGTTTCCATATTTAATTTTTCTTAAACTTTGGGTATTTAAATGTTGCCATAAAGGCCAAGTTCATGTTTAAAACCTTCTGTCCAGAGAAAGTTTATGTGATGGCCTTGCAAAAATTAACCTGCTAGGAGATAATGGCAACGATTATTTCTTGCAAGTGGTATCTACAGTGTTAGATCTGTCTTAAGCAGAGACCAGACATTTTGTGGGGTGAATTGACGTTGCGTGTGTGATCTTGTAGTTTTCAGGGAATAAAGAAATGCTGAAAACAGCATGCAAATTTCTCCTTTCCTAACAGTCTTTAAATACTTTTGAGATAATTTACCTTCTTTATAATTGGACTGTGAATGTATGCATGTTCACCACATCAACTGAAATGCCTATATTCTATTTTTAGTGGATTTCTTCGTAAAGAAAGTGTAGCAGTAAAGAATAGCGTATCTTATTACACTACAGTTGACTTGTGTTTGCATGCACAGCCTGCAAAATGTTAAGAAGGCTGCTGTGGTAGTTTTGGAAAAATTACGCAATATGAAAAAACCAACAATGCTTTATTGGAGCTATCTAAGGGGAAAATCCCCTTCTGCTTTCATCTTTAAATCCTCAACAGAAGAAAGCTATTTCACCTGGCTCCACACCCGTGTAGTTAAAGTAAGGGCAGCTGCAGTTTACCACAGGCTTAGTATTAAGGTGCTGTGCTTCCAGATTTTAGATGTTGCTCTCTAAATAGTAGAATTGAAATGTTACAATGTCTGTTGCAATCTCAAGCTGCTAAGTAATTTGATTATATTTAATTAGCAGGCAAAAAGCCACTGAAGGAATGTTTACTTCAAACAGGAGGAGAGTTAGATGTGAACCGGCAGAAATGTTCAAATCCACCTGTTGTCTAGAAAAGCTTCCTATGTATGTAAAGAAATTTGTACAAAACCTCCTCCACTTTTCCTAGATCAATGAAACAATGCCTTACTGCTTTCTGTTACAGGCAAAATTCTCATTTTTTCATTACAAAGCATTTAAAAAAATCTGATTAAAAAGTCTTATTTTAAAAAATCTAGTTATTCCTGTATTCAAAAACATTGTTCTGATTTATACTTATTTTCTGCTTTGTAGCCAGAAGACAAAGACACGCAAAGCCATACTGATGAATCACTTTCAGGTAGTATGTCAGCTTTACTGTTCTACATATTTTATTCCTAGATTTTTCTGTGGAACTGCTATTTGTTGTAACCAAGAACTGCCTGGGTAATCAAGGTTTGTGGAGCTCATTTCATTATTAGTGCCATTTACAGCCCCCTCTTTGCTCTAGAGGGGGTGGTGAACAATAATGCAGACCATACAAAAGGTGTCAGTTGGACTCTCCAAATAAATCTAGTAAATCCACCTTTGGAAGACATCTATAAACAACTACTTGGAGAGAGCAGAAGCTGGTGGTGGGCTGTAGGGGCTTATCCCCATGCATGAGCTCAGCTGAGGCTGGGGTGTGTGTAGCCGATATACAGCCCCGTTAATCTAACAAACAGTGAACAACAGAGAATTTCCTGTTAGTAAAGAAGTTTCTCCTGTCATGTAGCATTAGGATCACACAATTAAGTGGGTAGGTCATCGTTTACTTAACAGTATCTAACACAGGGCATCTTAGAAAAGCAGAATTCTTTATAATGCTTTTGGTAGTCTGCACATGGTATAGCACAAGAAGCAGGTTGGTTTAGTTTTGTTTACCTATAACTGTGCCCTGTGTTGTCTATGCCCATTCTTCCGTGCTTCTATTGGAGGATAAAACTTACTCTGGCATCCTTGCAAAGCAAAATAAGATGAAATTCAGATAGGGTGCTCTCCTGCCCTTTGAGCTCAGCCAGAACTTTGATTGGATTACATTCATTTTGCCTTGTTTGTATAACTAAATCTTGGTATGAATGAAGCAAGGAAATTTTGTCTCACTTCAGCTAGAGATTAGGGTTTGCAAGAAGAACAGAATAGTTCACATACGTATTTCTGTAGAAAACAGCTGCAAGGCCTGTGAAATACCCATGAGCAAAGATGTCACCAGAACATGTTTCCCCTTAACAGGGAATCTAAGCATTTGTATGAAGTTATGTGTCTGCAGCAGTGTTGTTGCTGCACGTCCTAACTTGTTGAAAACTTCAGAAGTTGTCTTTGGCCTGCTAAAAAAGCAAGCCAATGAGAAACGTTACAAAAATAACAATAGTCTGTTCTTCCCTTAAAAAAAACCCCACCAAAGTGCATGCAGAAGCTACGTTCAGCTTTTATCAGCACTAATATTCAAAATTTTAAAAAATCGCAATTTGAACGTCTTTCTGGAATTTTCACACAATTTGACAATTACTGCAAATAAAATAAAAAAAACCAAACAGAAAACCTCTATAAGGGGGTGGCACTGAGTACCAGATTTGCCCTTTGCCAGAGACACAGTTCATGTCTCTTAGACCAACACTGATCCAGCATTTGTAAACTGTGTCACTGTTTTCTGTTGTTTTTCATCACTCTTTTGATCAATATCAGTTTTCTTATTGTAGTGTTCCTTTCCCAAAGAAATTTATCCCAGGTAGGACCATTTACTTCCCTATTTCAAGCTGTGCAGTGAGGCTGTAGAGCAGAAGCTTTAGAAAGTGTTTTTAGGCTGTGTCCGTTATCTACTGCTCTTTGGCATACAAAACTCTCTCTGCCTTCAAAAAGGAGCAGGGAGAGTTAAGGTTGTATCTGCAGCAAAGATGCTCAAACGATGCCCTACACCACTGCAATGTCAAAGGTCTTAGTATTAGTCTTTAACTGGAAGCATGACTAAAAGTGATTGGTATGTGCTCTTACAGGTTATTAATACATAAGATAGTCCCATAGCACCACATTGTTCACAATGATGGGGGGATACCGACTGTTGTGTGTGGGAGACCTCTAAATGGCACTTTTCAGTATTTGATGCAGATTTTAGAACATATCGCCACCTACTTTGAGCAACTTGGTATTTTTATTTTTCTCACACATAGAGGAGCATGCACTTTATTCCTTTGCATAATGTACATTTAAAGTAGGCTTGCTTGGTAGAACAGGGACAGCTTTTATTGTAAGAGCCCTTAAAAAGCCACGGAACATTTGCACTTTCTTGTTGTGTTAATGTACTAGATGATAGTTGTGTTTGCAGCTGTCAGCAGAGATTCTCCTGCTGCAAATACTTCATGTTGTTGTGAAAGCAGCAGCTCAGAAGTGCAAAACCTCTTCCTTCATCCTACAACATAAGTATATAAAATGCACATAATGTTCACATGATCCTGTTAGTGATGTAAACCAGGATTATGGCAGATTAGAGGAAGTGACGTAGTTCCCAAAACCAAAAAAGGGGAATATGCCAGCTCACATACTGGATGGAATTGCATGCCTTTTCTGTAACAGCATAAATATGGTGCTTTCAAAATTACTGCCTTTTGATTATAGCTACTGAGTGTAGTGAAGAGAGAAGTCTTAGTTCATTTCATGAGTACTTTATATAGAAAGGCATTAACATGTCACTATTCTGACTATTTCAGAAACGATTCATAGGAACACGATACTCCTCAACCCTTTGTGGTTTTAATTTTTTGTTCCTGATGAAACCACAGCAATAGATCCTAACTTCTTCCCATGTAATGGTTTTCACTGCAGATCTCAAGAAAACCTGCAAGGAAAATGGCACCTGCTCCTTGTGCTTATTCCGCGCGCCGACCATCAGTGACATGCTCAATGATGAGGACTTGTTGTACACAGTGAGGCTAAAGCTGGATCCCTGCCACCCAACAGTGAAAAACTGGAGAAATTTAGCAAGCAAGTGGGGGATGACTTATGATGAATTGTGTTTCCTTGAACAGAAGCCTCAAAGTCCCACCTTGGAGTTCTTGCTACGGAACAGTGACAGGACTGTGGAGCAGCTGATTGATCTCTGTAAATTTTATAAGAGAATTGATGTTGTGAAAGTGCTGCTGAAATGGGTGGAGGAGGAATGGCCCAAGAGAGGGAACAGAACTTACCAGAATGACTTCTAGGTCAAAGAAAGTTGTTAGTTTGTACGTGTTAAGCACTGGGACAAGCTGCCACTAGTACATGGGAAGTTTCCCTTGCAAGAGAGAGAGAGCCTGTATTGATGGTTTGTATACTGTGTAAGCTTTATGTACTGTATACACATACATATGTTCTGTGCCCTCAGGGTTGCAAAGATAACCTGCCAAAGTGGATGGAATAATGCAGGCTGTGTTCTTGAGTCTACAAATGCCTTTAGTTTCTTTGCTGCTGTTCTTAGGCTTCCTAAGCAGAAGAGGAGTGAAAAAGCCAGGCCACTGGTTTTACTGCAGCAGCTATGAACCATGTCAATTGTCTGCTGTTGCTATTGGGAAAGCTACAATTAGAAGGCAAGTCTCTTGGCCTTTCCGGCAGCCCTTCCACAATCTTTTATGTTCTACCTAGTAGAAGATGATAAGGTTTTGTTTTGTGTGGTTTTTTTTTTTTCCTCTTTTGTTTTTTATTTTTTTAAGCTTTATGACGCTGGTTTTGGCACAGGAACACCTTAGTGTTCCAACCAGCAGTTTGGATTTGCATGTTACAATTCATTCAACATTTCAACATCACATTCAGGCAAATTAAGCTTTAATTCTCTTGTATAAACAAGAATAGATGTTAAACAAAATAATTATTTGTGTACTTCTACATCATAGGGCATATATTTGCTATAGAAAAATCATGCAATTCAAAGACACTTTTCAGCCCATAACCACTAGGGACCAAAAAAACCCACAACAATTAAAATGCTTTATATTTAAAATTAGTTTCCAAAGTTTTGAAGAAAATACATACACTGAGTGTACTTACCTGTTTATCTCAAATGCCTCTCTCCCTTTGCAGTGTGAGACGACGGCTAATGCCTCACCCACAGTATATCCTTAGTATTGAGTATAACTTCCCTTTTCATGGGCTGTGGTTTTCTTCACAGTCCTGTGGGTTAGCCAACTTTGTCTCACACCAAAGTAATTGTACATGTGAAACTAGCACAAGTTTACGTATTGATGAAAGCCACTCTAATGGGAAATTAACAGGTCAATTAATCCACAGTCCAGGTGGATGGTTATTAAAGCACTTATGGTGGTTTAGACTTATGTTTCTCAAATAATTTTGATACTCTGAATTACGCTGTTTACATTGTCACTATTTTAGAAATTGGTCTTTTTCCTAGCATTCTTCTGTGTTCTAATGTTTTGAAAAAACTCCTGAAAAATCAGTTATATAATACAAGGTATAAAGTACTTGTGGCAATAATGCCACACACAGAAATATTGTGATTTAAACATCTACTAGTTATTACCCTTGCTAAAAGCATCTCAGACAATACTAATATGTACATAGGTGTATATATTGAAGCACTGGTGAACAGTATGTCAAGATGTGGGGCAAAACTAGAATGGGGCACAGGTTGATGCACTGTTTACTTTTCTCGACTAGAAATGACTAAGAATTAGTAGCAAAGCTGAGGGAAGTCTAATGCTGTATACTGAGTTTCTTAACTGTAACAGAATGAAAAGGGACCTCTAGTGATACTATTCTATAGATACTGAGTGATACGGTTACAGAGGAGCTGGAAGTAAAGACTAACATTTTCAATGTCAGGCACTAGTTCTGGGGTGACATAAATTAGCTTTATTTTAGTGGCTTCAAGAAGCTGAAAATCTAGTTTCAAGGTAAAAGACTGACCTAAATTTGAGGCTTGATTTTTTTTTTTTTTTATCTTTTTTAAAATGCTTTTGGAAGACTGGAATTTTTAATAACTTTTTTTTAACTATTCCTCAAAAAAGCTGCTGCTCTTCAGAACAGTAAGTTTTCTAGCCATATTTTAAAGAGGAAATTGTACTGCTCTATTTTGTTGGGGCTGCAGTTCAAATGTTTCACGACCCTCTTCTAGGAACAGGGATTTCCCAATAGATATCTGTCAACCCTAACTTTTGCAAGTAATCTTCTGTCTTTAGTTTGGAGCTCTAGAATCAGCTTTGAGAACTATTGCTGTGGCTGGGCTGCCTGCTATTTTCAGTTCCTACACCAGGCATCCACTGCATATGGGCAAATAGCTCGTAATACAACTTGTCCAATGTACTCCCTGTACCTTGGGCCTATGATATGCATGGTTTAGGATCATGTGTCACGTTGTTCTTCAGGGTTATGAGTGCTGGCACATAGGCCAAACAGTTTTTTCTTCCCCATAACATACCACTGTTCTATCTGTGTGTTATTATAATGTGTTCTGATTTGTATATCCAGTCCAGCAAGGAACTGGGCCTCTCACCTAAGACTCACAATGTGTACATGAAACGATGCTGATGCAGCAGCATTTCTGAATCAAGATGTTCAATTGAAATCTACCCCTTTTCCTGTTTTCTGGCTAAAACGTGTGAAATTTTGAAGGAACACTGTTGTCTTGTGGAAATGAGTTCTGATCCGTTGAAGCTCTTGAAAAGTCAATGTCAGCTGCAAGGATTCATGTCTGATGGAAATAAAGCTGCTTCTGAGAGTTCATATGTGGATTCTGCATAAATTCAGCACTGAAGATTGAAAATGTTAGTCTTAAACAAACACTGGATTACTCATTAGTATACTTGAAATATTTTTTTCCTCTTTGTATGGCATGAATTGAGATGTACACACTTTTTTTAGTTTTATATCTGTTTACAAGATACTGGGTCTGAGTGTTAAGCTTATTCTTATATCTTCTGTTATAATGCATACTATTTTTAGAAGAAATATAGATTGTCACTGTTTGACTTTATTGTATTTGTTTTTATTACAGCTAGGAAAACAGCTGTTTTCCTTCTTACCAGTTATCTTGGAACCACTGAACTATCATCTAGTTGTGCTGTGTAAAAAAAACATCTTATATACAAGATTCATGGCATCTTAAAGCATCTATGTTTGCAACAGATACTGCTGTTGAAGAGAAGATGATGGCACTCTTTTCTCAAAAGTAACCCATTTTTCATATGGAGAAGATGATGAACAAAGATGTTTATCTAGAAGGTTGCAGTGGAGTTATTAACTGTAGAGAGGTATGAAACCTACACTGGGTGACCTATTCCAGAATTAATAAGCAATCTGATAATGAAGGTTAGAAAATCACATGGATGCTACTAAGGGCTCTAGTAGACTATCAGTTTTGTTGCATTACGTCTTTGTCCTATTCCTGTACAAGACCTGCACTCCCTTCAAGGATTTCCAGTTTTTTGGCTGCCATCTCCATGCCTGCAGGATAATCAGTGGCCCTTCCCACCCACTTTAGCTTCTATGAAGATGTCCAAACCACTATGTTCTTTAATTCCTGCAGCTTTGTGTAAGACATGGTGAGCCTGATAACTGTTCTTCAACAGCAAAAGTACAATCCTGTGCTCCAGGAGCCTGTAGCATCCTCAAAACAGGGACAGTGTGCAGTTGCCTTACTCGCTGCATGCAGTTCCCTTTGATCTGTGGAGAGGAATGTGGGGTGAGTGTAGGGCTGCCCTTTGGAAGCCTACAATAAAGGATAGGGTAGTCAGCATGGCCCCAGGTGCTTGCTTGGACTGAAGTTGCACAGAAACTGTAAAACATACTTTTTACTGAATCACCGCAGAATAATGGAGGGCTGCAGCTCAGTCTGGGCAATGCTTCGTGCAAGAGACTGCATATTTTTCATGGTCTCAAACTGAGTACCTCCCACATTTCCGAGTCAAGCTGCTAGCAAGTAGAAAACAGTGTAAACTCTGCCTTATGGTGGTTTAAGTTAAGGTAACAGTGTTGACTTATGGCCAGACATAGTGGGATATTGTCGGAGAGCAGAATTGTTGAAACGAGGTTAAAGAAAGTGCATGGCATTTATAGTAATTTGAAGAGCAGGCCTCTTCGGCTTTTGCAGCATATAATGTTCTCTGTCCATGAAAGAAAAGCAATTAATTATTCATAACTAATTCCAATATATTTTATAAGTCTTAAGTTTTGGTTTGGTTTTGGAGAGTAGGGCAGAGCACCATTAAATGAGGACTTGGGCTTGTTTTTTTTTTGACAGAAAAGTGCTTTTTCGTTCCCTTGAGCCCAGCTAGTCCTAATTGCATGGCTATAGTCAGTTGTTAGCCTCAGCTGGGTAGGGAAGGTAGGGATCTGCTGGTCAGACAGGCTGAATGCAAACAACACTAAGAAGAATTTATTTGGAAAGGAGGAGTCTGTAGTACTTGTAAATCTGTACCTTGGCCAACAACTGGGACTGACTCCATCTTAGAAGAAACTGATGCAAAGAGGAGTTGACAGACCTGGGAAAGGCTTGCCTGTGCTCTCTGTTGGGGCTGGGCCAATTAAACAGCTGGGCAGACTTAGTAGTTGGTTTGATCTCTGTATTTTACCTTTGTAGAAAGATGATTCTTGATTTTTAAAGGCAGGTCATTGGGGTAAATGTGTATTTTTTACTGTGGTAATGAGAGTCGCATGAGAATCTTAAATGGGAGAAAGATGAAGCAGTGCAAGTCTTGTTAGGATGGGATCGGCAAGGTTGGCTTTGAACTCCATCACAAAAGAGTATTGGTGTGTTGGGTTTGCTCAGGTTTTGTTTACTGGTCTTCACAGTGCTATGAAGATGAGGATTAAAACTGGAGAAGAGATGAGAAAGAAGTAGCTTCTCTCAGAAAAAATTAGTGAGAAGTAATGTCAATGGCACTAGCTTTCTCTTTCCTCTGATATACGTGCAGAAATAGTTTCCTTGACTGAAAATTTTATTTACAGCTGTACCTTTCAACTTTTTTTTTTGATAAAATTCCAGAAACAAGGTCAAATGTGTTAGTAACTTGGCGAATAAATGTTCTCTGTATCTGTGTACAGACAGGCATGCAACTTTACGTATCCACATAAAGGTACTTTTTATTTTATTATGGGTTTGCTTAAAAATTACCCAGTATTTAGTTTGGGAATGCTTTTTGTCTCCAAAAATAACTGAAGTTTCATGTTGTTGATGACATAAACCACATTTAAAACAACTAAAAAGTTTCTTAACAGGAAGAGCCAGGATAAGAATGAGAAAAGGGCACCCAAATCCTTACACTAGCAATAATCTTGAGTCTAAGATGAGGGGCTTTTTTCATGTTTCTGCCCAATATATGTGAGTTTCCCTCACTTCTCCCAAGCCTCAGTTCATTCACAATCCCATAAATAGCTTATTGGATATTTTTTTTTGGTCCTATTTCCTTTTGTCTCTACTTTATCTGAAGCTGAGGAATTCACCAATTATTATAAGCCTATTCTGCTGTAGCCATCAGAAAACACTCATCTTTTGGTGGGGAGAGGCCCTGTTGTTTCTCCCTTGAAAATGCAGCAACGCTGAGGGCAAGTGAGCCCATCTGTAACTGTGGAGACCCAACTGGGAGATCCAATGGCAACTGCAAGGAGAATGATGGTGTAACTAAGGCATGAAGGTGTAGTCCAAAGGTTCTTGGGTTTTGTCACAGTCTCTATTTTGGAGAACATCATACAGTTTTTTGATTTGCACAGATGTGTGGGTTTTGGTTTTTTTAACGTTCCTGGGTAGGTAGGGACCAAGGAACTATATTTTTGTAGACCACGTCATGAGCATCTTTTAGGAGGGAGCAGACAGGGCAGGCATAGGCACAGGGTTGCTCTGGTACCTGTTGCAACGCAAATGAAGAAGTGATCCTGACTACTTTCAGAATCCAATCCTAGAGTGTTGTCTCACTGATTTTAAAAAAGAAGGGGCAAGTATGTTTTAGGGGTTATATGGCCTATAATTGGCTTTCAGAAAGCAAGTGGCTTCTCTGCAACTCATTTGTCTTTTGGCCCTCATATCTAATCTGTATCTCGTTTGCTCCTATGATTCTTTTCAACCTTTTGCTTTAAAAAGTTGGCCTTGCAACAGCAAAAAAAATAGACTACTTACTAGTTTTGGAAGTAACAGTAGCATTTAGGATTTTGAATGGGTAAGCCCATTTAAAAAAAAACCAACCAAAACCCAAAGACAACTTCTTATTTTGTTCCAGGTGATTTGTAAGATTTGTGCATTTAGGCTTTAAACTGGAAACTGGAAGATCTGAATGATCGCTGGAGCTAAGTATTGACATATCAAGAAAGAGTTATGGAAGGCCGCTGATTAATTTGTTGCTAAATAACAGCTGAACGAGCTGGGCTGTCAACTGAAATTTTAATGTTAGTGTACCAAGAAGTGGTGATTCACGTCCACTTTGAATAAAAGGCCTTTCAAAGAATTTAGGGGAATAATTTCCATCAGAAAACATCAGGCTTTTGAGATGACATGAAGTCCTTACACATAAAATTTTTGCTGAGCAGTACAGTGTACTAGTACTGTATTAACTAGGGGAAGAAATTAGTTATTCTGATACAATGCAACAATATAAAAAAGTTTAGCTGAGGAATTTCCACTGGGCACATTTCTTAATGGGAACTCATAGGCTACTTTGATTGCCTCACTGCAAAGCCGGATAATGTGTTTATCCATTAGCTTTGGGTGAGCACAAACAAACTTGTCATAACCCATATTTTTGATCTCTTACCAGCCTGTTAATGACTCTTCATAAAACCTGCAGAGAGCCATTGAGGTCATTGATACTGAATGGTCATAGCATTACCATGTAAGTGGTACGTAGAGTGGGCAGAAGCTTCTGGTTCTGGACAGGATTTTTCTTGCAGGATATTCACAGTGGTTCATTGAAATATACTACATGCTGCCATGGATTGTGTTGTGGAGGCCAAAAAGTGGTGTCATTGACCTAAAAATGAATTGGGCTAGTTCATGGTCTGTTTACTCAGTGAGATGGTGCAATTGTAACCTTTGGCTCAGAAAGTGCTAAAGGGCTGATGGTCAGAAGCTGAATGTGGTGTACTGTGTGCTTCCCTCGGTTCTCACTCTGCTCCTCCAGGCAGCTCATGATGGCCACTCTCTGTAATGGTTGTGGGTACGTAACCCTTGGACTTGATGTGGTACAGCCAGTTTTGCCTCTACCAAACCACAGATGTTTTGTACCAACTGCAAAAGAACAGCACTACTTAGGAAGTTGTTATGGTACTGTATGTGTCAGAAAAAGGACAAATGTGGCCAGTGGAGCTGCCAACCCTACCCCTAGACTAAAGTCAGCATAACTTTGGGCTTTTGTATCTAGGCTAGGAAGAAAAGTATATAAATGTATTTGAAGATTAAGAAATTGCAAGTAAGCTATTATAGGAAGTGCTGGATAGGCCTAAAAAGGAAAAGCATGGAAGAATGGTGGTTTGGATCATGGCGAGGAAAAGAGTTGAACAAAAAGGGACCTGTGAGACGTTTTGAAATGTGTTTGTTTGTTTGTGTCAAGTCTAGGGACACCTCTTTTTTAAGTAGCTCACCGTTAATTAGTGGAAATGTTATAATTGGAACTGTGTGTAAAATATTTGGCCAAGTAAGTATGACTACGTATGCTGTTAGCTTAACTTTGGACAATGACTTGCTGCCCTGAGAGGTACGGGTTATAGGCTGGGAAGCAAGGACAGGGGGTCTGCTTAAGAAGTCTCCTTTGAGGAAGTAGGATAGCATGTAATTGTGTACTTTGTGGCACTCTGTGGAAAAGTGGGAGAAACCAGAGAGCAGGAGCAGAGAGCCAAAAGGCAGTAGGCAGCCCAGGCAGTGAGCAGAGCCAGAGTGACTCTCAAAGGACAGAGCAGCTTGTAATGCTGCTGGGTCTGGGGCAGCTGGGATTGTTGCACTCTTTTTCTATCCAGTAAAGTGCTGTGTATTAGGCCACCTGACTGAATATGTGAGATGGGGCTAAAAAAAGTGCCCGGACATCAGTTTATGTATCAAACTGTATCAAATTCAGTTTTGCTGACAACAGATTCAGTGAGCACTATTTATATAAACTAAAAATTTGATGTCACTATTAGACTTAGTCACATAGGTCCAAAAGCTCTGAGTATAAACGGTGCTAGATACCATCAGTCTGTCCTAATCGTGATCTAATTGACCAGGCTGTGGTCTGACACTGCTCTCAAGTGTTAAGTCCATCTCTTCTGCAAAGTGGAAAGGGAAAACAGAATGGAAAGCTAAATCTGTAAAAGATCACTTTTCAGTTTTTAATAAGACTAAGTCAAAGCAGTTCTTGGTACCCAAGAGGGAACGTGTAAGATTTGGAGATCAGCTAATTATCACTGAAAAAGGGCAGGAACTTCATTAAGGCTGTACACAGTAGTGCTGGTTGGGTATGGTACAGCTGACCTGCAGTAGCAGCTCCTGCACTGCTGGTGTTTTGCGATGATATTCTTCTCCCAGTTCCTGTGGTTGGGGCAGGAAAGGCAGGTAAAATTTCTTAAGGTTAACAGGCCCCTCCCTTAAATGCTACCTTTTGGCCAAGAGTAGCTGCTACATGAGCTTCAGCTTGAAGTTGCCTGCCTCTGTCTTGACAACGCACTTCTGTTTCTCTAGCAAGCAAAATTCTGCTGAAACATGGGAAGTCAGAGTATCCTGGCAGGATAACAGAGATTGTTGTGTGCAAGTTGAACTGTAACTTTAAAAGCAAAAGCCTGAGTTAGGACTTTGACAGTGGAAATAAGGGAAGACTTTGTTATTTGCTGTCATGACTGCCATTAGTAAATGCTGCTATAAAATAGCAGTCACAAGAAATCAGCAGGAAAATGACAGTCTGTGAACAAAACAACAGCAGTGCAGTGCAAGGCTTCACAAGCTGTAATCCAACTGACTCACTGTCAATGCTGCATTAGGTTTGAGAAGTGAAATAGGGATTTTCCTGTAAATTTCACAAACTGCCTATGACTCAGCCTTCAAAGAGGTGATCAGCATGTTAATGAAATAGCTGTTCTGCTTCAGTAAAATCTGGTGCATGCTTTAAATCACTTTATTTCCTTTGGATTGTTTCTTCCTGAAAGTAGAAGAGCTCTGAGCCAGAAGTAGTAGTAAAGTAGTAAAACTTAATTTTCTGTGCTGCTTCTAGAAACACTTAATAGAAGAAAGTGCTCTTCCTTTCAGTATGACTACATTTTTATTCCAGCCCTTCAGCATTGTTTCTGTCCCCGTTGTTTGACCCGAACTTGCAAACCTGCTTTGAGGTTGCTTCCTAATACTGAGAAGTGAACACATTTCAGGTACTTCTGTCAGTCTGGTTTTATCAACATTTTTTACTCTTTAAACCAAAATGCCTGGAACAATGGCTTCAAAGGAAAACTAAGTGGCAGTTCAGGCTCTAGGACCTTTTCTTTATTCTCTTTTAAAAAACTGCATTGGAATTTTTTAGAACAATTAAATAGCAGGCTTTTTGCTATCATCCAACTACAGAAAATAGCTCTCGGTCCTCTCTCAAAACCATGCATGATTCTAAGGTATCTTCCCCAAAGTGATCTGCTTTGCAGCTCTTTAATCTGAATCGCTCATTTCTGCCTTTTTCCTCAGAAACGTTGTCATACCTTTCAATCCTTCAAATGAGATACAGCTAAGCTGATGTACCCTTTAAAGCAGCAATCCTACAACCATTAGCAGAACTCTAGTGGGTAGATATGATTTGGTATGGGGTTTTTTTGGTGCTGGTTAATTGAGAATAGAAGATGGGATATTATCTAGCTAAAATATGGAAATGGTCTTTGTGACAGGAGTGGCCGAATGCCATTCTAACTTTGCTATATATCCATATGCACTACCCTCTGCAAGGCAAAGAAAAGCTGAATGTCTGCGATTGAATAGTATATGGTGATTTAGTTTTGTAGCCTCTTCTATTGCAACCTTTATTTTTGTCCTTATCTTTCCCACATCCGGCATATGAACAGGGAGAGCTTTAAATAGCGCTTCTCTGAGCAGCTTGTTGCTACACAAGCTGTAAAACTACCTGCTTACTAGACCAAAACCACCAAAAGCACCTTAGGGAAGCCTGTGAAGGGAGCAGGACGATAAAAAGCACAACCTTGGTGCGGAGGGTATAAGACTGGAGGTAGGTATAGGATTTCCAGGTTTCAAAAACTCCACAGTCCTGGGGCAACAAGTCAGAATGTTGTCCCAGAAGTCATGGGACTGCTTAACCCATGTGCAAGCCAGTGTGCTTGCACACAGAGTGGAGGTATTAGCTATTTATTAGCGGTTCTGTGCCGTGAAGTGTGGTAGGGGGTATTGCTGCAAAGCTAGCACACCCAACATTGAAACAGTCATGCATTTAGGCATTGGAGATTAGCATAATCAACATATTCATTGTTTATCAACGTCTTATTGGTGGTCATAATTCCTTATCTGGAAGCTGATTGGTGTAAAAATGTCCTCATCTTCAATTAAGAGCACAGTTTCTTAATTTTACTGCACAGGCTGAGTGGGTGAGGGTCTTCAAGGGGAGGCAGGTATCTTAACTTCTAGAGGAGTGGTTTTCATGTTACAATTAGTCCAGTTAACCTTAAGGACACGTTTCATGCGGTATAGCCAAGTTTCTTGGGCAATCAGCCCATTGGAGTTTCTGCTACCTGTTTTTAGGTCCGTTTGTTCCTTCTATCCCACTGTCTTGTCAAGAACCATTTACCCAGGTGACTCGAGTTACCCAGATGACTGACCCAGAAACAGAGTTACCGGCCGCAGAGGTCTCGGTGTCTCGCTCAGAGGAGAAGGGGGTCAGGCTGCGACAGGGGACCTACCGAGGAAACGCGAAGCACGGAAGCAGCCGTAGGTTTGCGGGGGAAGCTTGTGGTAGCCCTAAGGAGCAGAATTAACTTAGCGACCGGGCTGTTTGTTGCTGTGGCGCTCGTACCGCCGGGGGCCCGCGGGGCGGCTCGGCTCGGGCCCCGCAGCGCTCTGGACGCAGGCCGAGAAACGCGGCGGTCCCCGCGGCCCCTTCCTCCCCGGCTCACGGCAAACACAGCCCGGCCGCCTCCCGGGGCGGTAGAGTACCCCCGTCGCGTCGCCGGGCAGGGCGGGGCCGCGGCGGCCAGGCCCGGGGCGGAACCGGCGTCCGCCCTGACGTTGAGGCGGCCGGAAGCCGTTGGGAGGGGCCGGGACGGAGAGGGGGCAGGTGTCGGGGGCCACGGCAGCACCGTGCTAGTCACGGAGGTGAGTCGCGCAGGTAAAGAAGGAGCTTCCCCTGAGCGGGGAACCGGAGGGTAGAAGTAGCGATAACCGCCCCCCGCGTGTCTGTGTCTGTCTGTGGGGAGAAGGGGCCGCTCCCCGGCGGGGCCGAGGCGGGCCCGGCTGAAGGAGGAGCTCTGTGGAGCCGGGGCTTCCTCGGGACGCCTTTGGGGTGAAGCGGCCGAGGTTTCTGGGTGAAGCTGTTCCTGTGCCCTTCCAGCGTGCTGTGGTGTGGCGGCTGTAACGCGGGGCGGGGGGACGCCGCTGGTCTTTTGCACTTTAATTGCTTGCAAATACCCGCAGAGTAACTCGCTTCTTCTCTTTGCAGAGGTCTTGTTTCCCTTGGTGTAAAAATCTGGCGTTCATTCTAAAGTCTGTCCTGAGTTACTCTCATGAAAGATACTTTCTGCATGTCATAGAGGGACAGCATAATAGCTGGTTGTTGGCCTTCCTGTTCTCTTGTTTTGTGGTGTTTTGTTTTGTTTTTTTTATTGAATTGGTTTTCAGCTGCTTTGCAATGTGGGAGATAACAGGAAAGCATAGGAAAGCATACATACCTTTCTCAGTTCTAAACGTATCGTCAAGAACCTTAACTTACAGTGTTGCAGACTTAAGATTCGGTGTAGCGTGTACTGGCAATGGTTCCTCTGAGAGAAGGTTACAGGAGAACCTTGCAGTTAAATGCCTGTCTCTTGGTTTGTCAAACAAAGCCTGAATTGCAGCTTTCCCTCATTATTGTGGCCTTTTTAATAAAAATTGAAAAATAAACAAAAAACCCTGAACCCGTCACTATGCCATCGTGCCACCTGGTCTGCCAAGGCTGACAGTCCATCTGTTCCAGGATCCTCGTTCAGCAGGATCTAGATTGCTGTTGCACAGCCAGGGAAGTCCAGTTAGTGGGCTGCTGGAGTCAGAGTTATTGTTTGCTTTGGTTTTGATTTTCTCCTTTTAAAAATTAAAATAATGAAACTTGACTGCCTTTGCACATTGCTGTTGTGAATTGATGGTCATATCCCATGAGAAGATCAAAAGTAACAAAACAGTTATGCAGCATAAGCACCTTGTGTTCTCTGAATTGCAGTCTAGATACTGGTCCCTAAAGGGAGAAAGAATACTCTTCTGGCCCAAATCTCCCACAAGGTAAGCCAGATGTTGCAATGGTCCACTCTGTTGTTGAATCATTGCAGAAGATTAACCACAGGGCCCTGTGGTACACGTCACATCTGTTGGATTTTTGTGTGGTGATGGCTTGGTGGTGGCTTTTTTTTTTTTAGTATTGCTAGCAGTTGTCACACACTAATGGTGCTATAACCCTCATCTTTGATTTTTTTCCCTGGCTGCCTGTCATCACTACACAGTCTGCATGCTACCTTAAGTAAATTCTCCAGAATGCGCAAGGAATAATTGCTTAGTAGTTTCAGTTGGGCCCTGAATTTTGGTCGCTTCATTAGAAGATTTGCTAAAGCAATTACATTGTAGCTGGATATACTGACAAGCTGTTGTTTCAGTTCTTTTTAATTCTATGCTTTAATGTGAGTTTTACAAACCCCTGTAGTTATTTGTAGAGTTCCGGATTGTATGTGTTGGAGGAAGAAACATATGAAACACCCTTTGCTTTCTCCTGTGTCTTTGCATAGTATCTCTTAACTTCATGTAAGATAAAGCTGGAAAAAAGCAAGCTCAGCTCCTGGGACTTGTCTGCCTTGGGAAATCTGGGGACAGGTCAGAAAGCTTAAAGGAGACGGAAATGGTTGTTTGCTTTGTATTATGTATCTTTTCCCCATCTGCAGTCAGGAGAATGCTATCAAGGCGCAGCAGGGGGGCACGGAGTTACCGGTTTTCCTCTGTGCAATGACTTTTTCGTGGGATGCGGTCTCAGTATACTTAATCTCAGGAAGCTGCTGATGACATTGTGTAACTGTGTGCACTGTCCCTTGTTAGGGTGGCACCTTATTTCTGTAAGCAAGCCTTTAATTTTGGTATTTCAAAACCTCAGCAAAATTAATTGGAAAGATGTTTGCATCATTTCTTGTGCTGTTTAAAGTTATACCTTGGAAGGTTTTGTTTCATGTAGTGTCATTTTATTTCTTTCTAATTAAGTTTTGTTTTTTTGAAGGCACCTCTGCTTTGCTGCTGCCTGACCAGTGAGTCCTTCAAATACGCTCCAGCAGTGGTCATACAGAACCGACAAACTTAAACTGGAGGAGGGACCATGATGTCCTTGGATGGACCGAAGACAATCAGTAACCCGGTAACTCCTCTGTCACGTCAACAACTCCTCCCTTGGGAAATGGGACTTTGCTGTTTTATGTCAATAGTTAGTACTCACACTGTTCTGCACAGTGTGCGGTGTTACTGAGAACTCTTTGCATTGCTCAGACATTTGAGGAAGAATGTCGCAGGTGACACTAGGAGCTGATGGTGTTTAAAAATTGTGCTGTAAGCAAATGAACAGTTAATACAGAGGACTTGCAAAACAGGAAGTTCTCTCGGCCTTGGAGGGCGATTCCTTTTCATTTTATTGGATGTCTGGCGGAATGTGCTGGATTAAAAGTGAAAATATGATAAGCAGTAGTTTCACTTCTAATTCTCTGTAAACATGGGTGGTGCCTAGCAGCCCTCATGAAATATTTTTTTTGCGTGTGGTGCTTGTAACTTCGGTCTCAGCAGTTAAACTTGGAATTTTTTTTGATAGTTGGTGTCTTACCTTGCGATAAATCCTACTTTGTAAGGAAGACTTGAGCTAACACCATTCAGCCATTGCAGAGAGTGGATCTGATGGAATGTTGTTTGTGTGGCTTAGCATCTGGAGACTTTCTCTGAAAAGCTCTGGTATTCTCATGATCTGAGGATCTGGGACAGTGATCTTACACTGGCATGTAGCTAAAGGGCGGGGCTGGAGCTGCGCTTTTCATTATATCTTTAAAAAGGTAGTTCCTTTGAGCCTTCAGGAAATAATATTTTAACATTCTGTTGTAGAACTCTTAAAAAATATCAATAGTATATTGGGAGTATTTGGGATTGGAATATGGAAGCAAAGTTGGGAAAGACATTGCCGATGATCTCAGGGCAGCCTCCAGACAAGGCCATATGCAACCTGCTCTTTCTGACCTTTCTTTGAGCAAGGCATTGACACCAGAGGTGTCTTCCAATCTCAGCCTTTGTGTGATTCCACCACCTGTGTAATATCACAAGATGAGTTTACTAGGAATGGAGAAGGGCAGGCTATGAAGATTTCACTGTTTCAGTGAATTGTTTGGCTGACATTGACCAATTGAATTCAGAGGTAATTTTTGGAGGTCTGAAAGAAAGCCAGTATGCTGTTGGATCATATGATATCACAAGTGTTACTTTTAATGAATGAGGAAAAATTAGTAGAAGAACATCTTGAGACGTGTGGAAATTATAAGGACATTCTGTGATGATAAACCCTCATTAAGTCTTTAGTATTGCACCCAGGAAATGCTCTATTATGGCCTTGCAGATTCCATGTCTGAGCTTCTGAAGAGTTGATGGGCCAAGCTTCTTTTCTCTGAAATAAATTCATCCTTTTAAATATAAAGAAGGAGTTTTTCTGCTATAGCTTTCTCTTCCAGGGATAAATAACTTTGATACACTAGAGTCCCAGTATTCCTGGCCTGGGTCTGTGTGTTTCTCTGGGTCATCTTTGGAGATTCAACCAGTAATTTATTACTATACTGCATTGCTCAGGGCTACTATCGCTCAGGAGTAGTCTGTGAGAACTAAAATAATCAAGATATGTTTTTTCCTATTTATTATTATTATTCTTTGAATAAAAACGAGCCTCTTGTGTATAGTTTGTATATTAAGGAGTGAAGCTACTGCCAGTAAGTGAAAGGATTTCAGCATATTTATTCTTTCACTTTTAACACTTAATTTCACATTTTGGTCCTCCTCTACTGCACTTAAGTTAATAAAAAACCATGAGACTTAAACCAACTGGACCATTTGTGAGTTTATGCTTGAGAAGCAAGTTCTTTAAGTCTGTTTTGCTGATGTAGAAGATAACTACAAATTAGGTTTTGTGCAACATGTAGGTAGCTGAGAAGGGAAATGAAGAGAGGGTGGAAAAGGATGTGTATCTACTGGCAGAAATTATCAACAGTCTGGATTTAGACAATTTTTGCTGTAATTCCCCTCTTGCCCCTCACAAATTCATAAGAATAAATGTCAGCAAACACTTTTCATATCTTCCTATTTTGCATGATTATATACATATAAAAAAATCTCAACTTGTCCTTTTATTGTCTAGTATTCCATTCAAGAATAGTATTTCCAGTCTGTTCATTTTTTGTTGTTAAATTACTGGAACTCTTGTTTGCAATTGATGTTTAGTTTGAAAGATGTCCTGAAATCTTATACAGTGTTTTGTAGATCAGAGATTTGGAGGGTAAAAAAACCCTGAAAACAGCCTTGGCAGAAATTTTTGTCTGTTAACCAGAGCAAATGCAAAATTTGCTACCGTTTACTTAATTTTTCAATCTCAAGCACATGTGATGAGATGCAAACTTATGGCTTTACTTTCAGATCAGTGTCCTGTGAACTTCCACAGGTTTCTGTTGAGGTGCTCCCCTACCCTCACTGAAATTCTGGGTGCACCATCTGATCATCAGGGTAGGGTTTCTGTCAGCAGGTCTGAGCCTTTGCCAGAGAGCTCCGCTGGGGAGTTTGGGGCTTTTATTTTAACTGACATATTTCCTCACATGGCTTAACAACTCCTACCATGTTGCCATTTCATGTAAGGTGAATTTGTTACCTTCTGCAGCTATTGATGCAGAAGGAAAAATAGGCAGGCTTTGAGCCAGATTGCATACCATAGATACTGTGAAAACTGAGATCCCTGGCCAAAGTTATTTCAGTGCATCTTGCGGTTTTTAGCTCATTAGGATGAGTTATTTTATTGTGTGTGTTGTGTAGTTTTCACTAAGAAGACACTGTGATATACTCTCTTCTTTTCCTATTGCTGCTTTCCAAAATGGAACAAGAACAAGCAAAAAGGCAGCTGCTGTAGTCTGGGGTCAGAAGGGTTGTGGAAAGGGCCTCCTGATACCAGCAAAGGGCTTGAGTATTAGTAGCCATTTGCAATGACCTAATTTGAAGTGAATTTTCTTTATTAAAAATGAGGCAATAAAATACTACCACTCTTCGTTTGAGAGCTAGCAATGAAGGCTGGAAATGTTAGTTTTAATTTTGGCTGAGAAGCTTGGTTTTCATGGGTAAAACTCTACTGGGTTTTTCCTTCCTGTTTTGGTGGGTATTTAGTGCTTTTCTGCTGTGTCTTTTAAACAAAATGCTAGTTGTGTTTCCTTTAATGTGCTAAAACCCCACATAATTAAGTATTAGAATATTATTTTTAAAACTGTTGTGGCTTTTTTTTTTGCCTTCATCATAAAATGTTACTTGAATCTTTTTTAATCTCCTTTCCCCTTCTTCCCCTCTTCTAGATCATTCCATATGTTGGGACAATACTTGGTGGCCTTTCTCCTGGAGAGCTGATTGTGATACATGGGACTGTTCCTGATGATGCAGACAGGTAGTGGCTATGGTGTCACTTTTTGCAGTGTCACTGCATGAACAAGTATGTTATGGATAAAATGTTTACAGGGTTCTACTTTATGATGGCACACAAAGGCTTGATCTAAATCCCTTTGGTGGTGTCAGAGCAAACACAGGCTTAAGCGGTTAATGAAAGCCTTGTGATGAGAAGTGAGGGATTGACTGATTTTTTGCTTTCTGCTGATCCTCTCTTCTCTCTTTTTGCTTTGCCTGCTTTGACAATGTTTTTTTTCCTTGTCATACATACGCGTGCTCGTCTGTAGAGGTTAGCTGAGACTAATGAAATTGATAATGAATGTGTTGCATGAGGTAATTAACTTTAACTGGGATAAGGAGGTATGAACTAGTGCGTGTGCCCAGTGTGGGGCTTCTGTTTCCTGACCTTGTCCAAGGTTCATGTCGTTATTCTACTGAATATGATGGGGGGGAAGGTGGTGAACACAGTGAGGGACTTACATGATGTGAATGATGACCATTAAATAAATACTTAAATATTTTAATTCATTGCGATAAATGATGGGAGAACCTTTCGCAAATGCGTACGAGTTGGACAAATGTATGTTTGGGTTTTTTCCATTACTCAACAACACTCCTTGTGTTTGCCTGTTTTGAGGCTCCACAGTAAAACGCAAGTGTATGGAACTTCTAGGTGATTTCTTGATAGACTGACCTGAATGTGGTTTGTCTTATTTTTATGATTAGGTTCCAAGTGGATTTGCAGTGTGGCAGTAGCATAAAGCCTCGAGCTGATGTGGCGTTTCATTTCAACCCTCGCTTCAAAAGGTCTGGCTGTGTTGTTTGCAACACACTAGAGGGGGAAAAATGGGGCTGGGAGGAGATCACTTACGAGATGCCCTTTCAAAAAGGAAAGTCATTTGAGATTATCATCATGATTTTAAAGAATAAATTCCAGGTGAGTTTGGGTTGATTCTTTATCCATAGCCAGTTCTCAGGCCAATAAGAGAGCTATTTTTTATGCTTCCAATAAAAAGTTGGAAGCCTTGGTTTCTGTGTTACCTAGATATAGTATAACTACAGAAAAGTTTAGAAGCTTATTTTAAAGAGGTGCTAAGTAAAGCAGGCCTTTAATTTTGTATTGTTTCCCTCTAAGTTGGATGAATAGGCAAGGAACTTCCTGCTATGGCTAATGGCTACTCCACCCTTCCGTTCTTAGTGCAAAGGACTGACCTTAGGGGAAACCTGTTTTGCAGACTAGTGTAGGACAGTCCTCTTGGAGGAAAGGTGTGAAATGTATTTGTCTTGCTCTGTTAGACTGTTAGATTGCAATGTGGCATTGGTAAATGATCAGGAGACAGAAACAAAAGGTGTGAAATGCAAATTTTACTGTAGTCACATAAATCCCCCTCGTAGTAATGGAGAGAGAGACTGAATCATGCATGAGGTGAACTTAGTTGCTCTGAAATTTCTAGAACACTCCCTGCTTCTGTACCAAAACGGTGTAAAACAGAGATGCATGTCATTTGATGTGAGGCTGTTGTGATGTATGTTTAATACAATTTTCCTGTTTTGTTTCCTATCTTTTTAGGTGTCGGTAAATAAGAAGCACTTGCTGCTCTACAACCACAGAATTAGCCTTGAAAGAATAGATACTCTTGGAATATATGGCAAAGTGCAGATCAAAACTATAGATTTTGTTTCTAAGGTAAGTTATACAGACAGCTGACTTGTTAGATTCCTTTTCTGTCTTGCTAAACTAGAGTAGGATTTATGGTGAAAAGGAAGTAAAGAAAAGAAGCTACACAGTCTAACATCAGTAACAAGGCTTTGTTTCAACATGTTCAACATGTGAGTCTCATGTGAGGATCTCAGTCTTCCCTTTTCAGTCGTGAGGTTAGAGACAAAAGGGTGACAAAGTTTACAGCTTACAAAGTTAACAGGACAGATACTGAATCTGGGAATGGATTAGACTTTTCAAATATTGCAGAAGCTCCAAAATGAACTCTCAGTATTCAGTGCTTCTAAGTGACAAGTTCAGCCACGCTGGAACTGCTTGTACACATAACCCTGTTTTTCCTAAATGACTGAATTATTGAATGAAGTGATAAGTGGGAGTGTATGTTTATTTCTTGGGGGGAGACGAAATGCCCTTTCTTGAAGAAGGCCTTGTGGCTTGACTTGCACTTGGACCAAACTGCAGTGACTGTAAAGTGCAGGTAGCACTGTACTTCCCCTCAACTGCCAGAAGGTAAACCAACAGGGAGTTGAACAAGATGTTTTCCCCTATGCAGAAGGAAAGGTCCTTCTGCTCTGGAAGGGTGAGATTTTTAGAACAGAATCCAGGGAGATACGGAAAGTAAATATCTTTTCCTTTTCTTCCTGCCACTCGCTAAGGCAGCCTATGTACTCCTTTGTAATATTCTGGCTCTCTTCTGCCCTGTCCTCACTACATTGTACGAAAAGCTTGGGTCTCTTGCTGCCAAACGTCAGGTTTAACTTGGATCAGCACAGTAATAACTGTATTGATGGAAGGTGGAGATTTGGGCCTGAATGAAATGGGATCTAAACTTTAAAGATAGGTCTACTTGCTTATTGTTTGCAAAGCCTATGCACAGGCCCCATCACTTGGCCACGTTACTTCAAAGCTGTTTTTGGAAGACTGACTCTGAGAGAAGCTTGGGGGCAAGCAGGTGTTATGGGTTGGTTTCTGTCCCAAGAACGAAACAAAGCAGAGTTCCTTTAGTCTGTGGTTGCTGATGCTGTATCTTTTGGGGAAGAAAGGAATGGAGAATGGCAATTGTTTCCTTCCTGTTGCTTCTAATATACTCCTCTGAGGAGGAAGAGGGAGGCTTGTATTGAAATAAACAAGTTGAAGATACAGTCTGCCAGGGCTAGGCTGGAACTGTATCTCAGCATGGCCATGTTGCTCATATGCCCTTCCCTTGGGAAGAGGTGGGGATTCAGGGGCTGCTTAGAATCCCAAGGTCCCCTGCATGGACCTGCCCTGCTGCTATTCATACCAGTAGGAAAAGCTCAGTGGGTACCCTCGGATGCTAAGGGGTTAACATCCCTCTGACTGTTAAGTAAGGATTAAAACTCTCATGGGGTGGTCTTTAGAAATCTCAATTTGGCTTCGGCAGTTGATCTTCAGGACTTTTCTTTGGTTTGTCGGGGTTTGGCTGTCTTTTCCTCCACTGTAGCCCTAGATTTTCATGTTAACAGTTTGCCCTTCAAAGCAGCACAGATCTATGTACAGTTCTATGATGTTAGCAATAATATTAAATATATTCTAAATATTCTGCAGGCTTTTCAAGGCTCTCAGCCATCATGTCTAGGAGTAACAAAGATAAAGACAGAAAATGTACGTATGTTTGTAAAAGGTTGAATGAATTTCCCTGTTATGTGATAAGCTAGTTAATGTTCTTGTTTTCTTTTGCAGGGGGAAATGCCAGATGGTTCACAATTTGTAAGTGTCTTGTGTAGACTTGTGGGAAATGTGAAGAGTAGAAAAAATTGAAATAAAAACATTTCAGTTATTCATGAAAACACATGCACAAAACAAGGGAATCGAGAATCCAATGGGAGATGATCAATGAGGTTTTGTAGAGAGAAATCCTCTTTGCTGCTGCTAATAGAAGTGAGGCTATTTGTTAAGTCATGTAGAAACCCCAAAAGATAAATGCATCATCCATAGCCATAAACAGAAAAAAAGTGAGGTACCTGCAGTTTTAAAGGACCAAATCACATTAAAAACTTTTTTCAAGTAAACATGCTCAGTTTTCTCTGCTTTAGGGGTATACCTGCAAAACAAAAGCATTCAGCAGTCATACTAGGCCAAATGGCCATATGTTAATGCGTGTATCTTGGATCCTGTCTGGCTACGTCCACCTCTTGCTGGCAGATCCGTGCTGACTCCACGTACGCTTGGGGTGGCTGGATGCAAACAGTGCACCTCAGGGCTGCAACTTGCCCCCGGCTCAGCAGGGAGCAGAGACAGAGCCAGCGCTCATCTGTTTGCAAAAAGCTGTACAGGTGGGCAGTGTCCACACTGGAGTAAGGACCATGCTCCATCTGAAAAGGAGTTGGGTGCCAGGAATATATACAAATAGAATTTGTGGAGAAGGTGAAGTTGCAGTGAGTGCCATGATTTAGTTGCCTTGTCACTTGACAGTCTGCCTTCTTCAGTCTTCTTCTCAAAACCAAATAACATGCAATATTGTCATTTGCATGTGATGGACTTAAACAAAAACATAAAGACAAAGTATTTATCCATTCACTGCTTTTCCTGGATTAAATTGACTTTTAGCAGAATAAAAAAAAAGGCACATAAAATACTTACGCTATCTATCGTTATGAACTGGTGCCAGGAGGATGGAATACTCAGTGACCCTACATCTAGAACTTATTCAGTTGTGGACTACACACCTAGCATGAATCTGTTTGTTCGTTTGTTTAAAGTATAACTGAAGCTTTCAGAGAGGAGAGGTTGGGATGTCTGTATCTGAATATTTATGTGATAGAAATTTAAACTAGTGTAGGGAGTTTCATGCTTGCTTTTTTTTTTTCTCCTCCTTCCCTTCCTTCTGCCATTATTGGTGGTAGAAGTAGTTGTAAATAATGTTTATTTTGAACCCAAGGTGGTAGTCTAAAGAAAAAACCCAACACATTCTTATGTTTATCTCAGTGTAACTTTTCCACTAAAGTATTAGGACCCCAGAAGGAGTTGTTAGGATTAATTTTAGTTATAAGGGCAGATTCATAAATTTATTCCTGCCATAGTAAAGCTCAGCTTGTCTATTGAAAAAAGTAAGTCACAGTCAAAATTTTTACTGGTGGTGTACTTTCAGGGAGTTCCTTACGTTGGGAAACTTGATGCTGCACTTTCTCCAGGATGCACAGTTGCTATTAAAGGAGAAGTGAATAAAAACCCAAAGAGGTAAGCATTACTAAATTTTTCTGCTGTTTAACTGAGCTACTCTTGAGTACGAGTAGGCTTTTCAGTTGCATAAGTATATCCTTACTCACTTGCAACTTTGCATCTGGAATCATCTGAAACCCCGGCACAGTTTTCTCAGGAACCTGCAGACACTGCTTTAGAGAGGACTTAAAGAGCAGCTCCGTTTTGAAGGTGAAAGTAAAACCTGAGTGTCTTACCTACTAAATCTGCATCTTTCACAAGACTGTGTGTCTGTTAACGGTTTCCATTGTGCGAGGCATGTGAGCATACATATTGTACAAAGACAGTGTTTATTCTAAAGAGATAACAAGAGCAAGGAAACTGGCAGAAGTCGATGGCAAATGAGTGAGGTGGATGAGTTGCTGTTGTGCTCAGTGCTGCATGTTACATTTCTGAATATTTCTCAGATAGCTTCCTCATGGACTGTGCAGGAGCATGAAGGTCCATAACTGACAAATGAGTCATGAATGCTGGTAGGGGAGTATGAGCTATAATTTTGATAGCAAATTAGGAGTTGCAAAGATGACATTTTTCCAACATAATCTAGAGGCCAGGGGAGGGGAGAGGGAAGGGGAGCACAACAGTCGAAATGGAGCTGAGGAAATGTTTGTGCTTAAGCATGCCCTTTGCTTGAAGGGTGGTTTTGGCTCTGCAGAAGTAGGCCTAAAAATGAAGCAATTAGTGCAAATGCTGAGAAGCATGCTGTTTATGCTGTGTGTATGCATTGCACTCCTGCTTCCTCAACTTCCCTGCAGCTGAGCAGCACTCAGAGTTCATATTAATAATGGAACCCAAGGTCTAGAAATCTTAGCAGCAAAGCCTGAATGGACTTTAAATTGGACAGGACAATTACTACTTACATAGTAGCTTTTGGCTTATTAAAAGCTTATTAGCATATTTCAAGTGCCGAATGTACTATTGATAAGTGTGAAGAGGCTTTTGGGTATTGGTTAAAGCATTGCAGGTTGTCTGCTCTTTGTGTTTGTGCTTTTAAATGTACAGTTTTTTATAGAGTTTCTAAGTCACTTAATGCCTTTTACTCAGTTCACGCAGTTGATGTTTCTTTTTCCTGGTGAAAGAGGACTTTGCAACTTGCAAGTGTGGCAGTTGCCATATTTCATATCTGGACGAAGCAATTCTAGGCTCCTCAAAGGAGGGAAATAACCTGACACCTGGAGCTAATTGTGCATCACATTTCTTCTTTAACTGCAGTGACGTCTTTGCCACAGGTTGAATCTGAATGACTCTTCCACCTGATCACTCTTCTCCAGAGGTCTCCTTTAGAAGCCCTTTGTTGTATCGGTGTCAAAGTATTCATTCAGCCTGGGCAGAGCTGTGCTTGCCTACAAAGTAATGCTTTGTATGCCTGGTGTCCCACCAATCTTAAATGTAGACAGAATCCTCAAACTTTCCTTAGAGTCTAAGCAGTTTGTTGGGAAAAAGAATATATCTTTAGGTAAAACAAAGCTTCTCACTCCACGAGTGAAAAGAAAGAGATGGTGAACAGGTAGCACTGTGTCCTTCCATGAGAATGCTGCTCCCTAGTGCTGTAGGGGAGCAACACTTTGTCCACTCAGCTCAATACCTCCTTGCTGAGACACGAACAAAAAGCTGTGAGTGATGAAGCAGATCTATCAGGGTCATGTCCTATATTTGCTGCTGCCAGCAAAGGTGTCTGTGTGAAGGAGACAAATCCACGTTAACTGCTTACTTGGTTCTTCAGCTGAATCAACAGCCCTGGCTCCAGAACAGTCCTCAGTATTGGCTAGGAGACTGGTACATAGCATGGATACTGCATCATGTTTGTAAACCCTTGGTATAGTAAACTTTTAAATATCTTCCAGCTTTACGATAAATCTGAGATCAAGTGACTCAAAGGACATTGCATTACATCTGAATCCCAGAATGAAAAATAAAGTTTTTGTAAGGAACTCATACCTCTATGACAGCTGGGGAGAAGAAGAAAAGGAAGTGGCCAATTTCCCTTTCAGTCCAGGAATGTACTTTGAGGTAAGAGTAACTGAAACATGGCATCAAGCTAGTAATTCTGCCAAAAGGATGAGCAGTGGTGCTAAAATATCATGTCACTAACACAGATTTAAATAAAACTGTAACTTCTGCATTTCGGTGTCCTGAGAGTATTTAGGATTAAATGGGAGCATAAGGAGCAGAGATTTGACTTGGTTTTAATGACAGTTTTCTTTTTAAATAGTTGCAAGAATTCAGCCTGTGCTCAGAAGAAATTTTAATTGAATTGAGTTGGACTCAGCGATCCTTATGGGTCCCTTCCAACTTGAGATACTCTGATTCCATGAATTTTATTGAAGTTTCACTTTTTAAATATTTCTTTTGTATGCTTTGTAACAGAAGAAGGTCTTGCCCAAGTCTAGGCTAGATCATGAGGTTTTTTTTCATGTCTCACCTGAGCTTAAAACTTTTAAGTGTTTCTCTTCTTGCTTTTCAGCTGATCATTTTCTGTGATGCCCACCAGTTCAAAGTTGCTGTTAATGGTGTTCACACTCTGGAGTACAAGCATCGTTTTAAACAACTTGAAAAGATCAACGTAGTAGAGGTCACAGGAGATATTCAGCTGTTAGATGTGAGGAGGTGGTAGTTCTTTTCATTCAGTACTAAAAGAATTAAACCTCTTCTAATAACAGTGCCTCCTTGTCAAGTACAGTCAGGCGCTGACTTCTGCTGAGCCTGCCTTTATCTATCTAGGCTTCTGCGCCTGCTCTCTTGAGATAGGTGAGTACCAGAACTCCTAACGGCGAGATTAAATCCTCCTCTAGTGCACACTATCCTGGCAAGCTAACTTTTGCTCAAATAAATCTCCTGTATTACTGAGCCTAACGATGTGAAAATGCTGCATCCTACTGTGTCTAACAGATGCACTCAGTATGTTTAAGTTAAACTACTACTTGCCATTCCTTGATAGCATACATATGATATTGTGAAGCAGAAACAAGACTGAAACAGGATCTAAATATATGGTTGTCCATCCCAGAAGGGACAATGGTAATTCATTTAAAATACAATTATGAAATATACTCTTCTGCGTCTTAGTTTATATTGGCAATTATAACCTTTTTACTGAGGCTGGATTAAGCAAACAGTTGGCTCATCAGTTCTAGCAAAAGTGAAGAAGGAATTTGACCTTACTTCTTAGTCTGCTGCTGAAGTAGAACCTTCTCTGACAGTCATGGTTAAGTCACCTCCAGCTTTTAAGTGGCTTAAATCAAATGTACAGCAGCATTTCTAGCTTTTAGTTTTCCAAAGTGAAACAAATGAAAATGATTTAGCTGATTTCAATTGCGTGAACTTTTGAAAGCTTGTTTGATCTGAAATGGCTCCTAACTAGCCAACTTGAGATTGCTCAGGGACTGAACTAGATGTTTGTGTATTTCTTTTTTAAAAAATGTGTGAACCCATGTATCCAGGCAGGGTTTCAGCTGAGATGAGACTTGGATACTTATCAGTGGAATAGAGAATCAACCCTTTTTCAGTCTTGTATTGAAATACTATGTATTTGAAACAAATGTTTCCTCTTTGATCAGTTTTCCATACAAAAGTCAGTCTTAATTTTTATATTCTTTTAAAAAATAAGTTGCTACTGGCTGTCAGTACATGCCTGAGGGATGTTCCTATTTATCTGAACAGATGCTGAAAGAGTGAAGCAATTTCAAGAATAAGAAGTACCCTAACAGTGTTTAAGATAAATGACCAGATTTAATGTATAAAAAGCATAAATAAAAACATTTGTGATCTCTACTTTTCTCCAAGTGTAGCTATGTAGCTATGATCCCTTTTTGGTCTGTGTTTTGTCTTGTTTTGCTTACTGTCTCCAGTATCTCCAAGGTGGCATAGGAGTGCTGACTGGAGGGCTGTTTCCATGCTGAGGAGTTAATGATTCCCAGACTAGTTAACCTGAGTAGGACTTGGCTCGGCTGTGCTGGTGTGGCTGTCAGAACAAGAGTTGTGCTCTGCACACCCCCTGGCTGCAGGATAAACTTAGCTGGAGGCCAGTTGTAGCAGAGGAGGAGGTAGGCAGCTCCCACTCCCTGATGGCAATTGCACTACTTGTGTGACCTTGCCTTCATCTAAAAGGTCAGCGGGAAGTTCTCATGCGAACATCCTTTATGTTTGACAGCAGATATGATTAATTTTCTTTTAAGAAAATCCTGTATGAGCATGAATGACCATGATGGGGTAACTGTGCCAGAGGCAGGATCTGCATGCCATGCTGCACTCTGAACAGCGACTCATTCCCAGTACCCAGTGGGATGTAAGATTATCCTCTTTGTAGCGTTAGCTGCATTTTAAACCATACTTTATGGAGTCTGAGTGCCCGAGTCCTGATGCAAAACAGGTGGTGAGATTTTTGGTCAATTAATTACCATAGCAAGCAATTTATTCTTATCTTCAGGTGAATAAGAAGCTGATCAGTAGCAGTCTTTAAAGACTACAAAGCAGCTTTAGCTCCTCTGTCCATTTTTACTTCCCTAAAAATGACAGAAAAGAAGCTTCTCAGGCTTGCAGTGCCCGAGTGCAGTGAGCACCATGCTTACATTGCAGTATGACAGCCCCTCCACAGGGACAGTAACTGCACACAGCCCAAGCACAGTGGAATTGTCACTCTGTGCCCAGCTATCAGAATTTGCTTATAGCTTGCTACAGTTTTCCACTGTTAAGAAACAACCAGTTACAGAAAAATAATATGACAAGTCCCCAGATCATCCAGAAATTATAAAGCCAGATTCTTACAATATTTTATTAAAAAGTTAAGATCTTAGCTCTGATAAAAATTAGTATGACAGTTTGCCTGTAATACTGGCACGTGTGAAGCTAACATGATTCAGACAAAATTTGAAAACAAAGGGGATCCACTTAGAAGTAGCTTTGGAGTGGTTCTCCCAAAATGACTTCTAGTTGGTGAATTGTCTTCTGACACTGCTGTTCAACTTCTTCACATTCATCTAGAAAAAGAAATAAAACAGGAATTAACAGAACACTGACTGCAAAGCTACCCTAGCAAGGCTTCATCATTTGTCAAGGCTGGAACTGTCTTCAAACACCAGGTATGAAATAATTATTCAAAAAGATTTTGGCACTGACTCAGGACTTAAGCAAATTATTTCTGCTGTAACACTGATTTAAATGATGCAACTGAGGAGATGTGCACAAGCTGTTACACTGAAGAAACTGCCGTAATTTAATGAACTTTAGGAATGTGGTAGATGAAATCCATTTCAGTTTGCATCCTGCACAGCTTAAGCTCCTGTATACCAATTCTTAAGGTTTATAGCAATTACAGCAATCTTCCTGTCTGAGACTTTGAAATAAGTGGCCCTATTTTTTAGTTATAGGCCAGTTGTCTGCCTTCACTAATGCCACTGTAGAACATTACCTTCCATTAGCTCAGCTAAGAACGGAATAGATTCTGGTAGCAGGACCAGGTAGTTTTCCTTCAGTTTTTGTGCAACTTCTACCAAAGCAAGCAGAGCAGCAAATCTGACCTAAAACAAAACAATAATCTTTGTAAGGAAACATTACAGTACAGTTCCCTGTTTCTCCCCCTCACACCTTCTTTTCATTAAAGTTTGTGAAATAGCTTTCCCTACTGAAGGGAACTAGTTTTAAGCTAATTTAAATCTCAACATCTGGGTTAAGATAATGTCAAAGGAATAAAGGTTGCAAGAAGCAGGTATGTTGGAAGTTATTTGCTACAACAGACTTTAGCTTCCTGTTACAATGCAACTCTGTTCCATTGTATCAGAAGAACTTCACTCAGTACAATGAAAAACCAAGTACTTCCCCTGAATAAACTGACAAATAGAGAGTGTTGACAAAACTATACGCTAAACAGGTTTGAAGGTTGATAAATAACTGTCTTCCAGTTCCCACTCTAAAGTGCCCCTTTCTTCATACACAGACAGGTCACCTCTTATTCCAACAGCTACCACATCTTAAAAAAAAAACAACCAAGTTTAACACAAGTGTGGAAGACATCCACAGGTGGAATATTGACTGCTTACAGTAAGAGTGGGCAGCCATGTTGTATACATCTCTCTAGAACTTGGGAGTAGCATAGCACAATATCAGTATTTTAATTTAGCAACAAATTGGTTAATCCACTTCTGTTTTTTGGGGCACTTGTTCCCATTTTCTAACGCAACAAAGAAAACCAAATTCTGATTGCTTCTACCTTAGCCGAAGTGTGTCTCATTTTCAGTAGGATTTGGTAGTTCAGTGGTTTCCAAAGAGAATCGTCTGCCATTGCCACTGAAAACTGAGCTATGCAGGGGATCAGGTGTGCCGTCACCCTTTCCTGGAACTTCTCATCTCCTCCAAGCATATTTTCTAGCTGTGGAAGTAAAAAGCTTGTCAAGCAAATCCAGGCTCAGATAAATCCAGCCAAAAAGCACTTCCAGCTTTGGCTTTCAGGTACTCAAGAGTTACGCTAAAGAACATGAGTGGGAGTACAGTGGTCTGCAAGAGCTCAACAACATGCATGAACCTTAAGGAATCAAGACATTTAGAAAGAAAAAGATTAGTAATTCAGAGCCTCAGGCAAAGTAGTTAAACTGTAGCTCAAAGACAATGAATTAATTCCTCCCTTTTTGTTAAGGGAGAAGATTGAAGCCTTGAGGCATGATAGTTAAAGAAAATAAATAAAAAAAACCCAATAAAATGAATTGGGGGCAGGGGAGGAAGGGGAAGTCAGCTTTGAATTTTTTTTGTGTTTATCAATACCTGATCAACCAGAGGCATCATCAAGGTTTCGGCTCTTTCTTTACTCAGGAACTTCTGGGTGTCAAACAGGAAGAGCTTGTGCAGACAGTCCATGGTGAACTGCAACAGTAGACAGCTCTTTTCTGTGCTGTTCTCAGAGTCAAAGAAAGCTTCATCTGCGTACCAATCAAGAAAAAGAAAAAAATAATCAAAAAAAGAGAAAATACAAAACTTCCTCACAAGCTAGAAACACTGTTAGTTTGTGAATATAGCTAAAGGATGTACTACATAGCAATTATGTACTCATCACTCAGAACAATGACGTGGATGCAATGTTATCTGGCTTTTTAGCTAGTGCCCTAGCAGGTCTGCCACTGCCATTCAATCAGCTGGGGATAAAAGAGAACAGCCACAGGCTATAGGAACAGTGCTTGGCCATGCCTGTGGATATGGATAATTTCTTCAGGCCACTACAAATGGGATGGGCAAATAGTTTCCCATACAAAAAAGTAATACCTATTTTTGCCAAGAAAACAGAGGAGTCTGAATACACCAGGCAGCATATAGAAGTCAATGAAGGGAGGAAAAAAAAAAAAAAGAAAAGAAAAAAAACCCCAAACAGAAACAAGACACCGTCCTTCCACACAATTTCATTCTCATGGAACTCACTGGGACTGACACTGAAAATTTTCATGTAGTCTCAACTTTGTACTGGCAGCCCAGAGCCCATGGATGAAAAATGTCCTTTGGTTCCACCAGAGTAAGAAAGATGCCTTATTTATGAGAGAAAGAAAGAGAGAAATGAGAGGTATATGCTATGAAGTAAATTCTGTAAGACTAAACTTTCAGCAATTAACCTCCTTCAGCAATTAGAGTTAGCCTGCCAATGCCTCTCTGTAGTTAGTAACTGAAAACTTACCGGTTTTAGAAATGTTGACCTGGTTCAGTGTCTCAGCAAATGGCTTCACTAAATGACCAGCAAACAGGGTGAAGAGCCCCTTGAGCTTGTCTGCAATGCAATCTGCTATTCGGTGGAACGTCAGCAGTCTGTCTTTTAGGGTAGACTCTGTTTTGGACCAGTCAAAGAGCTGGAAGTGAAAGGCAGATTAGCTCTTTCCCGTGTCTGTGCACCAGTAAATACAAATACGCTGATGCAAATGGATTACATTTAAACTTTTTTACCTTGAAGAAGAGGGGTCTGAAAGAAGCCTCAGAAAGTTTCATAACCATACTTATTAGACAATCAATAATGTAAGCCTCTGTCTTACCAACTTCCTCTAAATCATCCTAGAAAAATTAGAAAACAGAATTCCAAGTTAGAAATGCAAAAAATTGAGGTTTCAAAGCACATTTTGTCTGTTTCAGACTAAATACCTAACCATAACGTTTTCTATCCCAAGAACAGAATACTCCATACCCAGAATTTCAGAGCACACATGCAATGGGAAACTACTCATATTTTTAAAACAACGGATAGAATTAGCCTGTAGAGCTTGAGCTGTTCACCCCCCTAAACAAGCCACCTCGGCATGCTCTGTCCGGAAATCCAGGGCTCTCATGAAAAATGCCGTCAGCTCAGACTGATGGGAGGTCAGGTGCTCCTTCTCCATACAAACAATGTGCTCCTTCAGGATGTTCATAAGGGGACCCAGGCAGTTCTGCCAAAACAAAAGCAAAGCAAAGCGCAGGCAGCTGTGATACTGACACTAACTGAGAAACATAACAAGGATTTTTGCATTTCACACATTTACTCATTAAATTTAAATAAACTTTGTTCTGTACTACTTGACAGGACAAGAGGAAACGGGCACAAACTTGAACATAAGAAGTTCCATCTAAACATGAGGAGGAACTTCTTTCCTGTGAGGGTGGCAGAGCAATGGAACAGGCTGCCCAGGGAGGTGGTTCAGTCTCCTTCTCTGGAGACATTCAAAACCACCTGGACATGTTCCTGTGCAATCTACTCTAAGTGGACCTGCTCTGGCGGGGGGGGTGGACTAGATGATCTCCAGAGGTCCCTTCCAACCCCCTATCATTCTGTGATTCTTGGGGGCTTAAGTTAATAGCACTCCTGAAAAGAGCTTGGTCTCCCCTCTCCAATTGTGGAGACACCAGTTAAGTCTGAAAGGTTTGCATCTATGAGACGGGAGCAAATCCCAGATGAAAATTATTACCCAACTTGTGTTCCCAGCAGATAAATCAAGGCCTTTATGAATGGGATGGTCTCTCAAGCATTTATCATCGAACATGCTAAGGACATTACACTGGTGCATTTCACCCAGGTCTAACTTTCCTGACTCACCACTGCGGTACAGAAGAAAACATTTAATATAAAGACTGTGCTAGGCTTGGCTGGGATGGAGTTTCTTCACAGCAGTTCATAGGGTGCTGTGTTTTAGATTTGTGACCAAAACAACGCTGTTAACACCCTGGTGTTCCAGCTATTGCTTAACACTGGTTGCATGTTATGGCTTGCTTTGTTTCTCACTCTGCTGCCCCAGTGAGTAAGCTGGTGGTGGGCAAGAGGCTGGGAGGGAACACAGCTGGGACAGTTAAACCAAATTTTGCACATGCAAAAGAATGAAGAAACCTCCTTACCTTCCGGGTATTTGCCACTTCACTGTAACACTTGGTAACTGCAGGCAAGAGTATTCGGGGAGCCAGCCTTGTAGCAAGAATAGTTTTCAATGATGTTACGCGTAAACTTATTTGGGAAGAAGGACCAAACTCGACCACAATCTTTTCCAAGCGGACAACCTAACAGGAAATCCAACAACAGTTAGGCAGACTTAAGAGAACTCCTTGGAGGAGTTTACATTAGAATATTTGTGTACAGAGCTTTGCTGTCTTCAGAAGACACACTGAAAAAATGCGCGTGTCAGCGGCAGGGGGTGAAGATTACCCTGACTAGAGCTGTTAGATACACATTTGATGAGATCATGGATATAACAGAATGATCCTTCAGGAGTCATCTCCCTTTCCAAAGATGCAAACCTACAACCTATCAGAGGGAGGAGTAAAAGACGCTCTTATATTCAAAATCTTAGTTATCTGCATACGAAGGTGAGTAGCAGAGTAATTTGTTACAACCTTCCCTGTAGTTGGCACACACTCCTACTTCAGTTTCAGACAGAAAAAAGTAATCTCCGTAGCTTCTTCTAGGAACTGGGCAGATGCTGTCCCCCTTTACCTATCTGTAGGAGTCGGATGGCTCACCTGCAGCAAGCAATCCAGAAGATAAGGACTGAGGAAATGGGGCAGTGTTTCTGCAACCTTCAGCAGAGCAGTGACGGCGCTCAGCAAGTAAATCTCATTGGAGACCAGCTCCTTCTTATTTTTTAAAGTC